ACCTGCACAGTTCAAACTCGTGTTGTTCAAGGGTCAACTGTAGATTCTGATTTCTCTCCCTCTAGAATGATCCCCCACCCCTCTACACCCATCTAGAGCGACTAAGAAATTTCCAGTCCCTTTTCATTATCTCAAAGGCTGATTTTGAGTCAAAGTGTACATAAGCTGAGACAGGCAACACAAACATTCATTTGCTTTTCTGTTTTGTTCTCAAAGCACTTTTTCATCTAAGACTGTATTTGATCTCTATAGCAGTTTTGGGATGGCCCTGGGGATGGGGGTCTTGCTTGACAGAGGAGGGCAGCGATACACAGAGAGGTTAACTTACCCACCTGGTGTTGTAGAGTTTAATACAAGTGAGATTAGAATTTAGATTTAATTCCAAATCCTGTATTCTTCCTAGGGATTACACTGAAATTCAAGCCACGGTTAATAATAACAATAATTATTATAGCTCCCATTTTTGAGCATTTGTTATGCACCACAAAAGCAACAGGAGTATTTCTTATATATGCTTAGTGTGTTACATTTATTATTTCATTGAGTCTTCACAAGAACGGAAAGGATAGGTACAATTACTATAGACTCAATTTTACTGATGAACAGAATAGAGCTCAGTAAATTATAGAAATCACTCATGGTCCTAGCAAGTGTATAGGGGCTTGAAGGGGCTTGAAGCCTAACCTGTCTGTCCCCAAGTTCCAATGCTCCCAACTGTTCTGTGGAACTGATTATAAGGCCGCTTATGCTACCCTTGTGGCCTACAGCAGCACCGACCGATCATACCTCCCCTACGTTGTTGCATTCCAAACCCAGTTCAGAATATGCTCTGACCCTCCTTATCGTTCTTATCTGAAACTATTGCAAATAGTATTTGTTTAAATAAAGATGAAATGTTCTTTGCTCTCAAGTTATGTGTAAAAGATCCGACCTCCGAGGGAGGCCAGGGCTTCAGAAGTTGTGGGAAATGAGCAAAATGAGGGAAATACAGCAGGGATGGAAGCACGCATTTCCAAGTGGCCCTGGGTAGAGCCGCAGTGTTTCAATCACAAAGCAGGCCTTAACTTTCCATCTGTAAAGTAACAGGGCTACTTCTTGGAATTTTGTGAGGTTTAAATGAGCTGAGCCCACCCTATAAAGTACCTAGCATAGAGGCTGCCCCCAAATAAACATTTAATGAATGTCAGTTCAAAGTATACGTGTTAAAAAATTATTTCAGATTCAAAGAAAGAGATAGGCAACCCAGTTTCCTATGGAAAGACCTGGGCTCTGGGTCCATCCAGTCTTGGGTAACCCTTCCACTTTCTGGGCCTCTGTTCTTTCATCTGTAAAATGAGGCAATTTTGAGCATTCAGGTTCTGTCTACACAATGGCCAATGTAAATTGTGTAACTGACCCATTGAGTTTCCTTTTCCTGCTAACTACATAAACACTTAGAACCAAATGTGTTAATCCATACAGCAAGCTCATAGCACATAGAGTTGTTGGGTATTTTTGTCTTTGTTTTTTTGTCTTATGCACAGTTTTCTCTCCATTTCATCTTTGTAGGCTTTTCCTTCTTTCTTTTTTATTAAATTTCTTACTGATTTTTAATTTCTGAGTATATCCTTGTAACTTACATTAAATATGTTTTTGGAATAAGTTAGTGTATTAATAAATACATAGACTTAGTTTGGAAGGGGGGGAAATGATACTGTATGTAATTGTGGTAAAAAGCGTGGCTTTGGTTTCACTACCTTGATCAAATTATTTAACCTGCCTTAGTTGCCTCAATTATAAAATGGGGCAAATAATTATATTTTCCTCATAGGATAACTGTGAAAATTAAATGAGGTAATGCACTTGGTAAAAATGTTAGCCATTATTATTATTATTATTTATGTTTTTCTCCCTCCAGAAGCAATTCTCATACTCTTTCTGGATACTCCACTACTGGTGTCTACGAAGCAGGGTCTGCAGATGATTTCTACATGGAGACATAGATTTTCTAAGCGATTTGAAGCTTTTCTAAAAACAAGGCAATGTTGCCACACACAGACAATGCGTGGGCCACAGCTTTGCAAGTGGCAAAGCATTTCTCACTTGATAGCTGCTGTCCTCTCATTGCCCATGGTGCAGCCTGGGCTTGGATGTGAAGGAAATCTGAAGGCAGGAGACAGAGGGCTACACGTTCCAATGGCAAAGTGTAAAGATTTCACCTTCAATTGTTCATTCAACCCATTTTTACTGAACTCCAGTGAAGTGTCAGGCTCTGAGGATGCAATGGAGAGCAAGACAGACGTATTCCTGCTCCCTTAGATTTTAGGGTCTAATGGTGAGATGCAGGCAAGTGCATTGACAATTACAACACAGCATAATAAATGGTATGACAGAGGAAGCCCAGTGAGCTATGGAAACATGGACAACTAATCCTAACCTAACCCAGACACGGAGAGATCTTGGAGGAGGTGACATCTAAGGGGATACCAGAAGGATGAACAGAAGAAGTTTGGCAGGTAAACTGGGAGAAAGCGTGGAAGGCAGAGGAAAATGGGGGACAGAGTGTACCAAGCAAGAAGCCCAGCTTGTGCAAAGGTCAAACACAAGATAGAACACAGCAAGTTTGGGGAACCAAAAGAGGTTCCTTTTAACTGAAGAGTAGCAAGCTTGTTCACATAGAAGAGTCAGGAGAGATAGATGCCAGGCCATGGGAGGGCGGTTGGGCTTCATCCTGAGGACAGTGGAGAGCGAGTGAGATGTTTTAAGCGTGGGAGGGGCATGATCTTTGTTTTAATTCACATAACTTTCCGCATTCGGAGGGATTTTGAAGTGTATCCAACCTACTTCATTTTACAGACGGGGAAATAGAGGGGGGTGAAGTTACTTGCCTAAGATCATTCTTCTGTTAGTTGCAAAACTAGGACCAAAAGGCAAAACTCTGGATTTCCAACACAGTGACTCCGAAAGACCAAATTGCTCTCTCTTATAAGCAAATAGAATTCAGGGGTCAGGGAATTATTCTTGCCTAAGATCTAACCAAATATGAATGTAATAGTCTTTTTTTTTTTTTTTTTAAGCAACTTGTTCCTGAAATGACAGGGAAATAACAACAGGGAGAAATATGTTTTCCAGAAAACTTTAATATTTAAAATAAAATGCACTTTAGAATGCAAATCTGATTTATTGG